GAGAGAAATGGGGGGAGGTCTGTCGGGGGCTGAGTTACCTGTATGGACTCACTATATTCTTCCCTTCAGTTTTGATGGCTGCCTATATAAGGCTTTAAGGGATCCTTATATTCCCTTTTTAAGTAACATTTTAGGGGATACAGTAGAAAGATGAGTTTGCTTTTTGTGAGATGGGGGAGGCTGCTCTTTCAGTATGTGATATGGAACAAAACCAGGAACATAATAGGGAAAAGATGTGAAAGCAATGATAACTTGTCAAACAGAGTATAAGCAGATATCATGGACCATGTGGGAGAGCTGTCAGGGACTTGGATCCAAGTCAGACTCATAATAAATGTTAGCGTTTGGCAGTGTGTCTGTGGAAGCTGCAAGCCAGGCAGATACTGAAGAAGTAAAACAGAAAGATGTTATCGCATCCATGAGGTTGCTCCCACTTGAAGAGTGCTGTCTGTATTACAGAGTCAAAATTTGGACAGGAAAGGGAAGATGGAGAAATTCTGCAGTTTGCATGCACATATCAGTATTTCTGCACTGAGGCATGGACTTTGAGGCATGGACTTACCTGTGTTAAGAATTCCAAAAGTGACTGGATCTTGCTTCAGTTTCTCAATCTCTACAGCTTCAAATTGGTCTCTTGTGCAGGAATATGTTGTGCAGTGTCAGGACCCTCCCATGATCTTCTGCAGCTTTTGCTGGAATCATCCTGTATACTGTAGCAGTGTACTGCGTTCCAGTAAATGCAATACTGAAGCCAAATAACAGAGATTTCGAGGTGGCCAGAGGTCAGGTTTTGCTTTTGGCACACGGACTAAATGGACACACCTGCCACAGCTGGATTGGCCACCTGTCTGTGCTTCAGCATGTGAGAGGAAAGCTCCTTCAAAATGGGCAGCTAAGGATGGAATGGGCAGATGTTTTCCACATACTTCTGGCTGCATTCACATTCACAACAAGAAAGAAAAACGGCTTGGGAGAGGAATTGGAGTCTAGGGAAAGTGCTGCAATATTTGTGCGTGTTTTGTAGAATCCCAGGCTGGTTTGGGTAAAAAGGGACCTTAAGATCATCCAGTTCCAACCCCCTGCCACGAGCAGGAACAGGGACACAGTGTTTTCATCTTGAGTTCTCTCAGTGCTTCACAAGCGTTCCTCAGAGTTGCAGATAAGACATTTGGGTTGCTTCCAGCACGTCTGCTTCTTGCAAGTTGAGTTGTGCTTAGAGGCCTGAGCTGTATCTCTTTGAAGTAAGTGAATCTTTCAGGCTTTGTCTCAGTATGGTCCCCAGCAAGGTCAAGCTAGAACTGTGCAAGCTCAAAGGAAATACATCTGTGTATCGCCTGCATAAAAGAATGTTGTGTTACCTGTTCCCAAGTAAAGGGTCCTGTAGGCAGGCTGCAGGAAGGCAGTTCATGTAAATCCTGTGCTGTTTGTTACCATTACATTTCAGTACAGCCCTACAGACCCAAAATAACAAAAGATATTTAGTAAGTAAGAGTGAAGGTGAAATGACAGTGGGTCTTGTTTAACAAAGAAGTGCTTGTGGCTGCATAAAAGTGGGATGAAGGTGAGGAAAAAAACATTCCTAAACTCAGCAGCAGCTCTCACTGGCACCGTGTGAGACTGTGAGCTCGAGCTGGGAATAAGCAGCCACATTCCGGGATGGGACTGTGTAGTCCTTGCTGAATACAACCACAGCATTGTCTGTCTGTACTGGTGGCAGCCATATGTGAACTAGATGCCCAGCAGCCTGGCTCCTTCAGTTATCTGCAGAAGATGAGATAAAACTATGGAATACATTGTGCTAGTGAATAGAAGTTACTGCCTGCTCTTGGGGGTCCCCTTTTCTCCATTGGAAGGTATTACACCATTATTATTATTATGACACCATTATTATCATTACACCATATTACACCAATCAATACCATGCTTCCATCCACCCTACTCAATCCAGTTTCTTCTTGTAGGAGAGTCCAGAACACGTGGTTACCAGCAGTCTTTATAGGAAGCTGACAAGTCTGTAATGCCACCAGAGGCCCCTGATCTTTAGCAGAGAAGTAACCCACCAGGCTCACTGGTGCAGCAGCCATCACGGCAAGAGTCATAGGTACTCGGGGCACTCAAGTAGATTATCCTGCCTTAGTTATCTTAGCCAATAATTCAAAGGCTGGAGACTGAAAAAAGGATAACTAGAATGCAAGAATTAAGTGCTGTTGGATTCTGAAACAGGGTTATATGGCAGCTTCTTTAAGTAAAGGTTGTTCTGTTCATGTCTGTGCAATATTTAGTACTCTCAACTAGAAAGAACATGTATGAACTGATTGTGGGAAGGTCAATAGTCCTAAGCATGTTACACTCCTGATAGCAAGGATTAGGCTTCTAACAGGGTTTGGATCAACCCTCTAAGCACATTTTAAAATATCATTGTCTTTGCAGTGTATCTGAAGGGGGCCTATAGGAATGCTGGGGATGGACTCTTCATTAGGGACTGTAGTGATAGGACAAGGGGTAACGGGTTCAAACTTAAACAGGGAAGTTTAGATTGGATATAAGGAAGAAGTTCTTTACTGTACAGGTGGTGAGGCACTGGAATGGGTTGCCCAGGGAGGTTGTGAATGCTCCATCCCTGGCGGTGTTCAAGGGCAGGTTGAGCAGAGCCTTGGGTGACATGGTTTAGTGTGAGGTGTCAATGCCCATGGCAGGGGGGGCTGGAACTGGATGATCTTAAGGTCCTTTTCAACCCAAACCATTCTATGATTCTATGTGTGAGTTCAGTAACATCATGTGTTAGTTAATGATGTTTTCCAGGGTAGCAGCATTATGGTTTAAATGTTTTGGAGAGCTTGTGTGGACGTATGTATGAAAAAGCTTATTTAAAAGCTTAGCAATATGGAATTAGGCTTCAAACTGACCTTCTAAAACCTCTGCTGGTTTTATTTGTTCAATTGTGAGTTTCTTGCAAAACTACTTCTAGCTCCTGCCAAAATGAGAGGCTTTTCTGACTCTTCTCCCAACCTCCAGCAGCTGCTTTGAATTCTGTGAGTAATGTAAAAATGCCATTTACAAATGAGAGGTTTATTCCGTCCAGACACTGTGTTTTTTCCAAAGCACTGGAGTCTTTCAGTTAGAGCATTAGAGCAGAACTTCCTTCTGGCATTTATGGGTCAAAGTTGCATAAAATCAGGTTTAGGTTTTCAGGACTTGAGACTCTAAGGAGTATAATGGCCAGGAATCTGTCTACCTGCCTGTGTTCAGGTGGGAAAACGGACGTATGAAACAGGGGTATTCATTTGCCCTCCAGAAACTTGTCCTATTATTTAGAGCATTTATGTCTAGCTCTTGGTGAACTCGTCACCAAGTTCAGCATGAAAGCTGCTTCTGATTTTGTTCAGACCCTGTGGTAAAAGTTGCCTCTTTTTGAAGCAGGATGTGACTTGAAGTTTATTTACAAAACAGCACTTGAAGGCATTCCAGAAAAGTCAGCATCTCTTTTGTGGTAAACCTCCCTTCAAGACAAATGCGCTTTAGGAAACCTCACTTGGGCAGTTCTTTATCTTCTGTGCAAAAGAAGAGTCAAATACCCCTTGAGAGTGCAGCATTTCTCTTTGCAGGGCAGTGCATTTCAAAGTGCATCTTGTGTTCTTTTGGGGCTGGTCACCCAGTGACCCATATGAGCCAGCTGGGTTAGATCTACCATGTTTTAACCAAGCTGGTTTATTCCCCCCCCCCCCCCCCGCTTTTCTCTCAGTTATTTTAACTCACTTGCATTGTCCACCTCATGGGCCACAAATCCAGCCCCACTTCAGAAAACAATGGCTGAAGAGCATATTGCAGAAGAGGAAAGTAAACAGCCAGCAGCCTGGCCTTCAGAACAGGCAGTGTTTATCAGAATGCAATAAATCTCTCTCCACTTCCTGGCCATCACAGTGGCTGTTGTGAGGAGGAAGTAGCTCAGTAGCCAGGTAGGTTTATTGTCTAGACCAGAGGCTCCCAAACCTTGTGATAACAGCTGCCAGAGAAGCTAAAAGCCTTTGTTTCTGACCTCAAAACAAACCGAGCTGGTGCAGATTGAATCCTGAATTAAATCTGTGCAAAGCTTCTCATCTGCATTGAGACAGCAATAAAACACTCACCAGTTGCTACATACATCAGGTGTAACTGAGCCCCTTTTTCCCTGCTTTATTGTCCGTGTGAGACTTAGAAAGGAATGAGAGCATGCCTTGGTACTAAGAAACCTTTCAATATAGTGAAGATTAAGGCTCTTAGAAATAAGATGCCATTTTAGTTAATGATAGACTCTTCTTTAAGATGTGTACATTAAAATGCTAGCTTTGTGCTACAAAGACATTCAAATAATGTCTTCAGTGGCTTGAAATGCTAAGAGATTATGTTCAGGTAATGATTTCCACTCAGATCTTTCTTTGAATTGCAAACTAAAATCATCCTGAAGGGGGAAAAAAACCTTCATACCAGAGAAGTTACACTGAAGTAGTAGCCAAGTCCTCGTGGCAACCCTTTGATAGCCTGATTTACATGATTTGGTTCTAATGTGGTCAGCATTTTATTCCCACACAGATCCTCCAGTCTTTAGAGCTTTAGGAGGAAGTTTTACTTTTGAAATGGCTGCACCTCACCTTGAGGTGTGCTTTTGTATCACGCTGACTTGCTTATCTGTAATGGAGACTGAAGTAATTAGTCTTCATTTCAAGTACCTTCTTGTTCTCTTTTCATAGGAATAGGTGATAGAGCTGGATCCTGGAGGGTTTGCATGTTCGGCTTTTCACTGTTCCCCTTCCCACAAGTTAACTCCCTTTCATGTGTTAAGCAATAAGATGTATTTTGTTTCAGTCTGATTACTCAGAGTATAAACCCCAAAGTAGATTGTGTGTTTTTGCTCCTGTAGCACGCAAGGAAAGGAGTTGGATGTATTTGTATGAAACTTCACTTGAGTCTACGTAGAGATTTTTATCCTGAAAACTGGCTTTGTGTTTGTGACTTGTTTTAAGGTGCTGGGAACCCAAACTGCAAAGTGGCAATTGTAATGGGCAAAACCAGAAACTCCTCAGCATCCAGGTAAGGAGTACGAGGACACTCTCCATCACCTGGAGGTACTCATGAATCACAGGAGGGTTTTAAACCTGTGCACGTGCCTGTTGTGCCCAAGCTCCTGTTTTGCTGATCAAAGGCTCCCAGCCTTTCACTGTTCCCTGCTTGCAGTGGGTGCTTTGCGCTAGCTCTGCTGTTTGTGCAGCTAACATGAACTGCACTGATGGATTGGATCAGGACGTTTGGGAGGGTTCACTTAGTCATGTTGGTTTTAGTCTGCATCAGTTGTTCAACCAACACCTGTCTCTGGCTTACAATTTATTTCATATAAATCAGTTACCAAGAGGAAGAACTGCTTGCTTAAATGATAATAAACCCCTAACTTTTCAGAGCTTCCCTGAGCAGGGAAGCCACAAGCAGCACAACAGAGACCTGCAGTTATCTACTGAGTTTTTCCACATGGTTATCTTTAGGTGCAGAAGATTACATTTGAAACATAGGATGTTTGTTACATGAAGTTGTGTGAGCAGAGAGCATTGCACATCTTTAATCAGGCCTCTCATTCCATTCCTGTATGTGTAAATATAATACATCCCTCTTCTGATTGAAAGTATGTTGTTCAACCCTTATTACCAACCTAAAATTGCCTTTTACCAAAACCTACACCAGTGATGAATAAAAGGCTTTGTGACTGGTTCCATTAAAATCACACAGCTTCTAATGCAAAGAATTTGGAACATTTATATCTCAAGGTTGGATTTTAGCCCAAATCCAACTGCTTATCTTGAGATCTGGCTAGGTTCCACTGAGCAGTAAACAGTAACTTACAGCATGCACAGGATGGTTTCTTTAGCAGCTGTACAGACGCTCTTGGAACACAAGTTTGTGGAGGGGATTCTGTGGTACTGTGCTTGCTGTAACTGTGTACTGAATTCAGGGCCCTGGGATGGCACCTCCCGTTCTGTGTGACTAATAACTGACCTGAAATACTCTGAAGGAATTTAAACATGGAGATTTTTCCCCTAAACTATAGGCAAGCCAAGATGCTGCTGCTGCCAATAAACATGTTTTGAGAACAGAAAAGAAGGGCAGTGGTGGTGGGGAAATTGGGTGATTCAGAAGTACTTGCACGTGGCAGAAGTGGTTTTGCACAAGTGGTTGTAGTGCACTCCAGTACCAGAAGTATGTTTTTACGTGTTGACTTAGGGATTCAAGGAATGCTGAAGCATGCATGCCATGCTGCATGCAGATGGGGATGGCAGTGATGTGTGTAGGTAAATCACAACATTAGCTTTATGGGACTCCTAAATTGAGGATAGAAAATCAAAGAAGTGGAGGGAGGGGACAGCAGGAGGCTCAAAGCTGATCCTAACTTGTATGTTTGGTCTTGGTCAGGTACAAGCAGCACAGTATGATTATTGTTCCCATGGACACTCCAGGGCTGAAGCTGATAAGACCCCTCTCGGTGTTTGGCTACCTGGGTAGGTGACAATATTCATCAGCTCTATGTGTATGAGTTTGTCAGCAGTCTCAGAAGCTGCAGTAATACTTACAAGTACTGTATATGAAATAAATCTGTGAAGTGCCTCTATATAAAAAAGGTTAGGAATTGAAGGCATGCATTCTTACCCTCCTGCGTTTTACCCTGCAGCTGTGTTTTCTCTGCCCCTGCAGATGAGATCCACGGAGGACATTTTGAGATCCACTTTAATGATGTGCGAGTCCCTATCTCCAATATAATACTGGGTGAGTTTCAGTGTTAATTCCTTTTGAATTCATACAGCAATGAGCCAAATCATATTTTCTGAATCATCCTGTTACCGTGTTGGTTGTGGTCAGTTGAGCCAGGGCCTCAAACACACTCAAGAGGGAGCTCACTCTTCCTTTAGCAGGCTACCTGGTGCTGGAGGTGCACAGCAGGAAGGTGACTGAAGGAAGCTGTAGCTGTCATGTGAAAATCACTACCCTGAAGCAGAGCAAAGCAGAAACTGTCAGTTCTTTCCCCAAAGCCAGTTCTCATAGACTGTATGGGCTTTGAAAAGAGCATTCTGTGGCTATCCATGCCCAGTGTCTGCCAACTCAGCGGAACTGAAAACAGTCATGAAAGAATGGGCAGGCCAGCTCTGTGCCCTTCTGCAGGAAGAACTTTCCTTTGCTTCTCTCACTGACTACAAATCCTGATGTCTTCTATTTATTTCCTCTCTCCTATTTTCATTTCACTGAAAGAGCTTTCTGTCTTGAGCAGCCCTGGGACCTGGAAAACAAAGCCTTCCCCCAGATTCTCATACCAAATCTCTTACATGTATTTTTCAATGTATTGATTTAAATCAGGTAGATCAAGCCCTCTCAGAAACCATCTTAGGGTGTGCTGTGGGCTGGAAGTGTTAACAACAGTGTGTCAACATAGACCTAGGTGGCAGAAACAAGCAAGATTTCTGCAAAATAAACTTGGAATCATAGACTAGTTTGGGTTGGAAAGGACCTTAAGATCATCCAGTTCCAACCGCCCTGCCATGGGCAGGGACACCTCACACTAAACCATGCCACGCAAGGCTTCATCCAGCCTGGCCTTCAACACTGCCAGGGATGGAGCTCTGGTTCTGTGAGGCCACTTCTGCTCAGAGCCAGGGATCACTCCCAAGAGGGAATCAGGGACTCTGCATGTGCTTGTTCTTCTTTCCATCAGGTGAGGGCAGGGGGTTTGAGATCGCTCAGGGTCGGCTGGGGCCTGGCCGAATCCACCACTGCATGAGGTCCCTTGGCGCAGCTGAAACCGCTCTGCAGCTCATGTGCCAGCGTGCGGCGCAGAGGGAGACCTTCGGGAAGAAACTCTATCACCACGTAAGCACCTTCCCTCTATGTCCCCATTCCTGTGCTCCAGGCACCACCCTTTGTTTTGCCTGCACAGAACCTTGGGATTCTGCAGTAGATGTGCCCTAACTTCAGTCTGTTGTTCATAGTGCCTCAGGTAGCAAAGGAAAAACCCTATTGCAAGGCCCCCAGTTTTCACTATAAACTATGGGATTTGAGTGAAATCTGGCATTGTCCCAAGTACCACAGGTTAGGTAAGTCTTCCTGCACCAAAACCATCTGCTACAAACGAATTGCCCAACTGAGGAACCCTCTGTGCTTTAAAGGCATTCATTTCTGTCTCAAAGATTAACCTAAAACCTGCCCATGGTAGGAAGTTGGAACTGGATGAGCTTAGGATCCTTTCCAACCCAAACCATTCCATGCTTCTGTGATTCTATGTCCCCTTGCAATGACTTGGATACCCTTTGCTGGATCTGAACACAGGTTTTGGCCCCATGTGTTTTGTCTTTCTGCTTTCACTCATCAGTTTGGAATGGTATTTTTGTCAGCCATCCACCTCATGGTTCTGTAGTTACAATCCAAATTCCCCATTTTTGTGTGAATTTGTCATCAAGCCATCTCTGTTCGTGGTGACCAGCGCCACTCAAGGGTCTGAATGTAACTAAAACTGTTACTTCTCTGCTCAGTTATTTGTACTTATGAAAGTACAAACCAAACCACGGCCCTATTGGGATTTTTGGTCTTACCTTGCTCTGGAATTGAAATACTGTTGTGTGGGAGAAAGCATAATAAAAAGGTGACACTGTTTTTTTATAGGAACCATCAGCATTTAGTAGTTGCTTATCACATGTCAAGTGTTCCTATGTCTATTTCAAGAGCTAGGATGACTTTATTGGAAAAAACAAGGGCAATGGAAAGAGGAAGCTGTGTCTGGCATAGGTTAAAGAAGTTTGTACAGATCCGGAGGGAATCATCTTACATCCCCTTTTCCAGTTGTGTCAGCGCCAAACAACTTCCATTCACGACCATAACCCAGAGTTCATGCATTGCATGAGGTGCACTCTTATGTCTCAGCAGCTCAGTGAAGTAAAACTGATGTTCATGCAGCAGCAGAGCTCCCCTAGAGCTGGGAGGAACCTGTGCTAAGGGGCTGCCTTGGGGAACAGAGGCTGTCACCACCCTTCTGGAGGCAGCAGGGTGTACCTGAACCCCTCCTCCAGCTTTTGCTGCCATGAGGCTTCACATTGACACGAGCACTGCATGTTTGTTCATGCCTTCATAGCTACAACATCCCTGCTCCAGGCAGCTTTTGCGCTGACAAACGTCCCATGAGCAGGGTTTGGTTTTGCTGTGGTATGTTGGCTGAAAGGGGAATTTGTGAAAGGAGCAGGGAAGGGTTGCCAAGGCCATAACTTCCTTTGGATCAAGGCAGCTGCTGATTTATCATCATTGGTGTGAACAGGCAATTGTGGCAGTTATCAGCCCCGCTGCAGCTGTGCACATGACACACCACTACCAGTACTTGAAACAAAACAGAACCAATTCCTCTCCCTTTTCACCTCCCACTGGCTGGAGCCTGAGGCACGTTAGACAGGGAGAGGGTTGTGAGTCCTACTGGGTAAAGGAAAGCAGTAAAAAGCAGGCTTTGAGGGGCTTTGGGGAAAGGGGGAGCAGGCAGTGGTGTGACCAGGAACCGGGTGTGCCAGAATATGGAGTTTTTCCCCTTTTCCTCTTTCCTGCCAGGAAAAAAACTTCTTTCCATTGAGTATTCTGTCAGTCAAGTAGTTTCTTTCTTTTTACTTCATTCATGCATTAAACTACCTTTAATTTGCACCCAAGTGCCTCCAAGGGATGCTGAAGGTGAGGGGTGTCTTCCTTCAGGCAGGGCTTCCCAGGCAGGCTGGGAGCATTCACGGCCTGCTGCTGGCTTTGCTTTCTGCAGGAGGTTGTTGCGCATTGGATTGCTGAATGTCGCCTCGGGATAGAACAGGCTCGGCTGCTCATGCTGAAAACAGCCTGCAAGATCGATGCACTGGGCAACAGAAAAGCAAGGAAAGAGGTAAAACTGCTTTTGGCAGCCTCAGGCTAGGACTTGGCCCTGCAATAGCTGTGCATCCAACTGCCTGAACCACAAGCTAAAGCACAGCGCTAAGCGTAGCGTAACTTTGTGTTGAAAATAGATGGTCTTGAGTTGTGCTTTTGATTGGCACGAGCTTGAAAAGTGTTCTCAGTTAAAAACTCTGGGCTTCATCTGATGAAGTTGTTAAAAGTTAAAGAAGCTCAAGTATTTCTTCCCTGTCTCAACACAATGAGAGGTTTAGGTGACTGGAAACAGTTCTACCTTATGCAAGTAAGCCCTCATTCAAGCCCAGGGGGAGGAATGGGCTGGGAGCTGCCAATCTCACTAGAAGGGTTAGGTAAGCATTTTCATTTCATTATGAAACTCTTTACTGATAATGTGGGTTCTCGTCTAATTCCAGGTAGCCATGACCAAAGTGGTTGTCCCTCGAGCCGTGCTTAAAGTGATTGACTGTGCAATCCAAGTGTGTGGGGGAGCAGGAGTTTCCCAGGATTTTCCTTTGGCTTTTATGTGAGTAAAGAGAGCCTCAGCTGTAGCTTCTGAGCATTCCTTTTAAAATCATTTTATAACCCATTTCACCTCAGATAGCCTGAAATAATGGTCTTTACGCCTTTAAGCTAGAAAAAGCTCAAACCATTTGGTTTTACAATTCAATTCCACTGCAATTGCAGTGCTTTACCTTACCTAAAATAGTTCATAGCAGCACAGAGGGCCTGTTCCTAAAGCTTTGAGGAAAAGCAAACTTTCCCTTTTCCATCCCATGTACCTCAGGCCTGCCAGGAAGATTCTGCTGCAGTATCTCCTGCGTGATGACCTTTTCAAAGAGGTTATTGTCACAAGGCTGGCTGGAGCAAACAGTGCCGAGTGCTCCTGCTCCCCCTAACCCAGCTCTCCCCACAGGTTTGCCTACATCCGGACCTTGCGCCTGGCAGACGGGCCCGACGAGGTTCATCTCTCGACCATCGCAAGGTGGGAACTGCTTGAGCAGTCCAAGAAGCTAACAGCAAAAATCTAACGTCAGCACAAAGCACCTTGCAGGCAGGAAGGACTCTGGAAGGATGTTGTTCAGTGCAGTAGTGTTGTTTAAGGTAAAACTGAATACAACCACCTTATAGAATCATAGAATGGATTGGGTTGGAAAGGACCTTAAGAACATCCAGTCCATACCCCCTGCCATGGGCAGGGATGCCTTGAAACAATACACATTCTCTCACTCTTTACTTGCATTTTACACTTTAATCAGGGGCTTGCTTTTAAAACCTTGCAGAGTGCCTTGTAAATACCAGAGTGTGGCTGAGTTTTCTAACACTAAATCTATTTTCTAACAGCCCTAAAGTTTCTTCTTTGCTCTGACCCAAAGCCTTCTTTATCCCTTTAGTGTAGGCAAAGCAGTTTTAACTCAACAGTTCCACCCCAGGTAGTTTATTGCAAGCTGGGTAATGGCCAGGAGCCCTGTTTAGCTGTACTCAAGTTCAAGGCTCTGATCGCTCTTGTTTCTCACACCTTCAAAGAACAGCTTCATAAGGCCACCACCTTTTCTCTCATTAACAAGGCTCTTAATTCCCTTTATTTTAAAATTTTCTGTACATATGAATGATCTGTATAATGTACACTCAATATAGAAAGTTTTTATATACTGGATAATGTATAGAACATTTCACAATTACACTAATTTCTTACATAACGTCAACTTTAAGGTTGTTTTTTTGCTGAAGCTCTGTCAATTTGGTCAAGCCAGTTATACATACGAATGTCTAATGGTGTCTGATCTCAGGAAGAGGAGAATGTTAATGATTAAGGACATCAGTGAACCGGTGCAGGGACAAACCCTTTGCAAGTCATGTTCAATGGGAGTGATCATGTCAGACTGGGAAGAGGGGGGGATGCCCTTTTAGTGGGGGTGGGTGAGGTCAAAGTGATTTTAGCCCAATTCCTCTAGACTGTAGCTCAACTCCAGTCGTGCTAATTCATAAAATATAAAAACTAGGAAAGTTTGATTCACAGTCTTGTAAACAAATAGAAAGGAACAAAATGTGCTTACGTACAACAAGAAAAAAAACTTCTTGTGTACCCATTTCAGCTGATCCACAGAGTGCTTCCTTGTGGTACAGTGTGACAGAATCACTGACTTTTCCCTAAAAAAAGAAGAACCAAACAAGTCTTAGAAAAAGGAATAACACTGTCATAAACACTTGGAAAAGGCAGTAAGTTCACTTCAGAGCGTTGGAGGAAAGTGCTGTTCCTCATCACTGGCCACGCTGCCTTTGCCTCTTTCACACAGGTCTGCAGTCCTTAGCTGCCATCTCCCACTTCGTTGTCTACCGGGGGTGGTACGTGGGGCATTACAGATGCTGTCGTCCCTGCAGTGAGGTAACCAGCGACTCCAGGGCCTTTTGGGAGGAAAACACAGTGCTGGTGAGGAACCTTGAACCCAAAGAGCAACTGAGCAGCTTTATCCCCTCTGGTACCACTCAAACACATCATTTAAATCAACCAGACACCTAAACAAGAACATGTCAGAGTTTCCATTTAGATTCTTTGGAATCTGGGAATAGCAGGAATTCCAGCTAACTCAGCCCACCAAGTAGAGTAGCTTGTGGAGGCCGTTCTCAGACTTGCTCAGCATTTTTTATTCTAATGTGCCAAATGAGTTCCAGAGGAACCCCAACCACTCTCCATCCCACCTGCACCGTGGATGTGGCACTGAGGAGGGGGTGCCCAGCCTTTACTAATGGGGGGATCCACTGCAGGAGCGAGGTGAGTTTGGGTGAGCATCCCACCACTGCTTCAGCACTGCAGGGGGTCCCAGTGTGTAGTTAAAGGAAGTGCAGAGAGCTGCCTTGTGCTTTAGGCAGCTCTTAGTGCCTCTGCCTAGGAAGAGGAACAGCATTCTTGGGATACACAAACTGCATCAGAGATAACTCCTCACCGTCAATACATCTCGATGTCAGTAACTGGAGGGGTGGGCAGTTTTGCACTGCAGACAAAGCCCGTCTCCATTGAAGCTTAAGAGTTTAAAATGTACTTGTATAGAGACTTCCAAACACAACCAGAACTGCTGCTGCAGCAGGAGGCGTTCCAACAGCAGCTCTTACCAGATTAACGACTGTAATAAACTGCCAACCCACAACACGCTCCTGCATCGATACAGTGATCAACTTGGTGTTAGACCTTCAACCCACTGCTGATCTTCAGCAGGGTAAGTTCTGCTGCATCCTTAATGTTCCCCCCTTAAGTCACCCTCACTGAGTTCCCCCAGATTTGCTACCCCTTCATGCCCAAGCCTCCCTCCTCACACCACAGCCTGGAGCCATCACATGAGTGGTGTTTGTCTTCTTGCCAACAGTCCTCCACTTGTCCTGCAAGCAAGAGAGCAAAGCAAAACAGTGTCTGTGGTAACAAAAGCTGTCTGGCTTCAGAACAGGCTTCTCTTTGCCAGCCCAGCAACAGCATCTGCCCAGGGCCAGTCCCACTTCTACATGTCCTGCTGCAAACATTCCGCTAGTTCTTTTGTCTCTCAAGCTTTTCCACCACAGGATTCCTAATGCACTTCACAAGTTTAGTAGTACCAGTGAGTATCAGCCACTGCAGTTGTTAGTTTTATGCTCCTGTGTGTTGAAGGTGGCATGTTTATCAGTGCTCTGCAGTTCAGGCCCACACGTTTGTTACAGTTCTGACATGCATCTACAACTTGGAGTGCACCGAGTGCAGCAAGTGTGTTTGCAAGATGGTATCTACCTGCTTTAGAGAGCTACACAGAAGTGAGCAAGCTGCCTGGCAGAGCAGATCTAAAGCCCACTTCTCAGGTGAAGGGGACTGCTGCCAGTTAGAAGGGAAGGAGAAGAGACACCTGAGGGAAGAGAAACAAGCAAGGGAAGTTTCAAGGGAAGTGCAAATAGCAAAGCAACTTGAAGCAAGACATAAGGCAGAATATAAGATAAAGCAGGTTAAAAATAAAGCTTGTAGTTTGGTTTCCATCAAATACAGCTTATAGTTTAGTTTCCATCTATACTTGGCATTTCTACAGCATCTTCATTCTACATTTGCAAGCACTTAAACATTAAGCAATTGAAATGCAGCAGAGGCCTTAAGGAACTGGACAGCTGTATTACCCCCAGTCTCAAGCCTGACAATGCCTGGTAGAGTTTCAGTTCTTGGCCAGTAATCCACCAGCATGTACTTCATTACATTTCTCATTACAGTATTTATGAGATACCCATGAAATTCAGCTCCAAGTGAATCAAGTGGTCTTTGTCAAAGCAGCATTAAACGGTACAATAAACACAAAACTCCTGGTCAGAGCTGAAGTGCTGAGTCTTTCCTGTGTGGAAAGTCTTGCCATATACCTGCTCTCAAAATACTAACCATCACTTCCAGAACATCTAAAGCCTGACTTGAAAGGTTCTTGCTTCGTTTTCTCAAGACACACGCCAGAAAACCTTCCCTGTCTCTGTGGCCATCTGATGCGTACCTTGTTAATTCAGTCACACTCAAAAGCTTTACCACGATTCCTACACTGGGTTGTAGCATGTGGCACACGGGAGTGTTCATACTGTCACAAAGGCCTTGAAAACCTCACCTGGGAGCCTAGACTTGTAAGACTGAGCATCAGCTGATAGCTACTGAGGAGTCAGACATTTGTACCATGCACGGCTTTAGACAAAGCTTGCTATGATGTTGTTACACAAAGTATTTTCAGATACAGCAACAACTCTGTGACAGCAAAGTTCTGGACTGTGATACAGCAGAATACAGTCAAAGATGTGTCTGTCAAGTGCTGCGTGTGAATGAAGGGAGAACCAGAATTTGATTTGTTATGACTTTACTGTCCCAGGATTATGTCCCCCCAGTGCAAGTCCCAGCAAGGACGTTCACAGCAGTTGCTATCCTTTGTGGGTTCACAGTACATCGCACAGCTACAATGCTCTTCTGCACTGTTCAGGATGCAGTAGGACTGAGGTGACAGCTCAGGCTTGGTGGTGCCATCACAGGCTTGGTGGCACCAGCAGGGCACTCCAGGGTGCACCACAGATGCATTCAGGCCACAAGCTCTGTGTACAGGTACGAGGCTGTCCCCAGCAGAGGGGCCCTGCCAGTGCTCCGAGTCTGACTGGAACATGGGCTCACACCTGAGCTGTTCACTTTCACGCTGCTCCAGACCTACCACTAACACACCCTGATTCATGTGGCACAGTTCAAACAGTCTCAGTGATTCTGAGCAAAGTTCACTCCTCCCCAAAACCTTGGAAAACGTCATGCTCTGCAACTCAGACTGATCCTGAGAAAGCCTGGAAAGATACTGTCATCCATTAGTTCTGATCACACCTCTGCTTTATCACTACAGGGTAGTGGCAAGACTTGCCAGTGTCCAGACTCCACTGCACTGATACATAGGTACAGCGAAGACACTGCAGAAAATAGATTCTCAACCACAAAAGTCTGGCTTTTGATGAGTGTTTTAAGAACTTACTGTACTTTTACAGCACTGTGTTCAGGCCACACGATGGCTCTAGAACCTGAGGATAAGCTGTATGTCCAGAATCAGTGACAAGTAACAGTTCAATAGGATGCAGGACATAAATAGGAAAGGGTTACTAACCTGTGAGGTATCCTGCTGTTTGTGTCTCAGAAATGAACAAGTCATGTTTCTGATCCTTGAAGGCACTCCACACAGAAGAACGAGACAGGATTTCATTTACCTACAGTTGTTGAAGAGATTAGCAAGATGAGCAAGTGACATTTGTAACGTTCCAGGGGAACAAACCCATTCTCTAGAACCAAACCATTGCACAGGTATTGCACAGCAATAGTTCAGGCTACAGTGTGGAACCTCACAGTTCCAAGGAGACTGTATCAACTGTTTTTTCCCTGTGAATTGTGCAGCTGAACTTCATGAGCCTCCTGCATTATGTGAAGTCATTTAGTTGCTTGACTTTCTTCCCCATTCCCCAGTTCAGGTGACAAGGAAAAGCAAACCCTGCAAGCAGCCACTCGCCATGAATCTAGAGCTGACCTACAACAAGATGTTTCCTGTACTACAGCAAGATAGGGACAGCCTGGAGGAAAAACCCATCCCCACTTTCCCTTCTACTGATAAAGCTTTCAACACAAGGGTAAGAGAAAGGCACCAAGAACTAGCACAGTTACTGGGACAGATTTTACTTGCTTCAGTATAAATCCCTAACACTGCTGCAGTTGCTTGGGATTTGTCTTTTATTGGCAATCCTCACAGGAATCAAACCAATGACTTCTTCACCAGAGATGGAGACCTTCCAACCCATAATGATTCCGTAGTTTCATGACGTTAATGTTTTAGGTGGAATGATGCACATGAGAGACAGATGATGAAACAAGAGATGCTGAGTTTGATGCCCAGGGAAGGACTGGTCAGTACTCACCTGCTCTCCATACTGCAGGCTGCGAGACATGGACTTCAGAGTTTTAACAATCTGAGCTTTTGTTGCAGCTGGGCTTTCCAGGTTCTCGAGACCAACCCCTTCAAGCAGCTTTAGAAGGTAGGGGACCAAATCTGCCTTCAGAGCCTGCACACATACCCAAAGGAGTTGTCTTAACATAGGCTAGGAAGTTCCATACAGAGGTTTTACATTACTGTGTTAGTGTGAACCACGAGTGCCAAGAGCTATTACTAAGTATGTACAGGAGAAAGCAGAGGTACTGTCCAGCAGTTCT